ATCACTGTGATGAAACACCATGACCAAAAAGCAAGTTGGGGAGAAAAGAATTTATCTGGCTTACACTTCAGCATTGCTGTTCATCACTGAAGGAAGTCAGGACAGGAACTCAAACAAGGCAGGGTCCTGGAAGCAGGAGCTGATGCAGAGGCCATGGAGGGGAGTTGCTTACTGGCTTGCTTCCCATGGGCCTGCTCAGCCTGCTTCTTAAAGAACCCAGGGACATCAGCCCAGGGATGGTCCCACCCATCATGGGCTGGTCCCTCCCCTATTGATCACTGTTGGAGCCACAAGTATTATACAGTAAATGTACAGCGGACAGATTCTTAGACAGATCTACAAGTGTACAACTTATGGAGAACCCATAAGTTCAGCAGAACGGCAGGAACACTTGTCTTTTGGATAAGTCACTGTGAATTCTGCAAAAAATCTTGTGAAATCATGGCATTTTCCCTTCAAAATGAGTTTCATTCCCAAAATACCACAGCAGTGTAACCTCCTCCTGTGCGGGCAATGAAATGACCTTCCATGAGGCGTTAGAATGATAGTGTTTTCTCTTTGTTCTAACAGCCAAATTTACAGAAATCCAATCCCCCACAATTACCTTTGCTAAACAGACCATATAGGAATTTCAAAAAGATAGGCAGACAGGTGCCAGACAAACAGGGCTGGGCATGGGTGAGTCCAGGGTTCAGGGATGTTTAGTAACTTTATCTAATGGCTGGGAATGTCAGGTATTAGCTCTTGGATGCTGGCTCTTCGTGAGTGTTGTTACCTGTTCCTGGATCACTGCTTTGTCAGGTTCTACCTTTTTTTATGATTCTGAAATGTATATTTATATCATCGTTTTTTTTCCTATAAAATTATTTTGACCATGTCTATACAAACTAAAAACCTGGTGGAGGTCACCCCTTCTCCTTCTCTGTTATAGTGGCATTTCATTTGTATTTTAATAAATAAAGCCTACCTGCAGATCAGAGAGTAAAACAACCCCACTGCTCAGCCTTACAGAAGAGGGAGTGTGATACACACCTTTAATCCAAGAAGCCACACTAGTTTGAAATAGAAACTGGGTGGTGCATGCCTTTAATCCAAGTGATGCATGCATTTAACCCCAGCCTTAGAGAGGAATGTAAGATGGGAGGAAACAGCTGCCAGACACAGTCTCATTCTGAGATTCTTTGAGGCAGGGTCACCATTTCAGACTGAGGTTGAGGTAAGAGCCAGTGACTGGCTGCTTTGCTTTTCAGATCTTGAGGTTGAATTCCAATTTCTCTCATTTGGTGGCCAACATTTGGGGCACTAATTTATGAAAAGCTGTTGACCTAAGACTTTTTAGCTACCAGCCCAGGCCAGAGCTGGGATTTCAGTTTCAGCTCTAGGAATTGAAACCCAAACCTAGCCACCTGGATTTGGGAGGAACATTAGTGCTCCTAGCTCCCATCCACCATGGCGTTGCTTCCTCTACTGCTGTACCTGTCCTTGCTGCCACCCCATAGGGCACCCACATGACTTCCTACAGCCTCTGTGGCTCCTGTAGTCCCATGACTTGCCCCCATCCCCATGTGTGTGGCTCTCTTGTGGCTGCCACAGCTTCCCCTGACTATTGCAATCCATGTGCAACTGCTTGCTACATGGCTGCCCTGTCCAATTCTTTTTAGCAAAATTCTGTTCAGTTTGATTTTAGTTCTGCTTAGAAAATCTGCAGGTTTTTCTGGCCCACATCATTATTACACCTTAAAAGTCTCAACTAAACCAATGTTTTAACAGAAGTAAGTCATCTGCTAACTATATATATTTTTTTTGCAATTTGTAAACTACTTCTAAGATAATTACAGATATATCCCCATCCAAGAATTTAATAACCTTTTTGTTTCTATTATGGTTGGAATTCTGAGAAGTGTATGACCTGCCTGGGACTTACACATTCTTAGCCATAGCTGTTATCATTTTTATAATTCCTATTGTATCGTTAAAGAAATGTTACAAGTCAAGAATGAGAAACTTTTAGAAATGATACAGACTTTATAGACTAGTAATGAGAAGTTGGATGGAAGGATTCATACCATTGAAAATGATAACCATAATTTGACAGATAAAATTCAATCCATATCAGTGGATTACGAAAGCTTATAGAATGGTACTGAGAGATTATCCAAAAGGAGTCATATTGTTGAAATTGACAATGAAAATCTGTGAAAAAGTTATGACAAGCTAGCCGACAGACCATCCCTCCTGAAAGGCAATCTACATGCCATTCTCTCTAAAGATGGAAAAATGTCAAAAGTTGGACATGTGTGCAGAATGAGAACCAGAAATTAGTTGATTTGATAAAATCATTAGAAATATCCACAGGTCAAGAGACTCAGACTTTATAAAAGACGGTGATAAAAAGATTTGAATCAATTGAGGAACTTGTCAGAACAGGTAAGCAAAGAGAGGTGGCACAGGCAAAAGGCAATAGTAAAGATTGAGCATCACTAGTACCTCTCAGACTCAGAGATGACTTACCAAGAGCTTTGGCTACTTATGCTGTTATGACCTCTGAAAAGCCACCAAATACTCAATACCCAAAAGGATATACACCATGTAAATGGAAACCTATATGTATAATCTAAAAGATGTTAAGCAAGCAGTAGTATCTTATAGCATACATTCGCCATATGTGAGGGAGTTGGTAAAGACATGGACTTCAAGAAATAAGGCTACTCCACATGATTGGATTCATCTAGTCTCAGCTGTACTAGGCCATAGCCCACAGCTTTAGTGGAAGAGTTTTTTTTTAATTTATTTATTTATTAAAGATTTCTACCTCCTCCCCACCACCGCCTCCCATTTCCCTCCCCCTCCCCTGATCAAGTCCCCCTCCCTCATCAGCTCGAAGAACAATCAGGGTTCCCTGACCTGTGGGAAGTCCAAGGACCACCCACCTCCATCCAGGTCTAGTAAGGTGAGCATCCAAACTGCCTAGGCTCCCCCAAAGCCAGTACGTGCAGTAGGATCAAAACCCCATTGCCATTGCTCTTGAGTTCTCAGTAGTCCTCATTGTCCGCTATGAGAGAAGAGGCTGAGGTTACTGTTCTGTGGCTGTGTACTGCCTGAATGGCCACAGAACAATAACCGGCAAACTCTCAGAGGTACCAACAGCTCTACCTTTAAAATAAGTGACAGAAAAACCTGTATGGGTTAAACAACGGCCTTTAACAATAGAGAAACTGCAGGCTTTAGAATAGCTGGTATAGGAGCAATGAGATTCTCAGCCTATTGAAGAATCAACCAGCTCTTGGAATTCTCCTGTATTTGTTGTTAAAAGGAAATCTGGAAAATGGAAAACAGATCTAAGAGCTTGATAATAAGGTGATTCAACCAATTAGTCCTCTGCAATTTGGAATTCCTTTGCCTTCCCTATTGCCTAAAGGATGGCCTCTTATAGCAACTGATTTAAAAGATTGCTTTTTCACTATACCTTTACAAGAAAAGGACAGAGAAAAATTTGCCTTCACAGTGCCTACTTATGAGAATTCTCAGCTTGCTAAAAGATATCAATGCAAGATTCTCCCAAAGAGAATGTTAAATAGCCCCACCTTATGCCAATATTTTGTGAGTCAGCCATTGGAAATGATACGTAAGCAATTTCCTGAGTCTATAGTTTACTATTACATGGATAACATTATGCTATCTGATTCAAATGTAGATACTTTAGAATGTTTGAAGAAGTAATGAAAATTTTGCCTCATTGGGGATTAAAAATTGTTCTTGAAAAAAATACAAAGAGGGGATTCTATCAATGATCTATGTTATAAAATAGGTTTACAGAAAACTAGAGCACAAAAGTGCAAATTAGAAGAGATCTTAATGACTTCCAAAGTTTGATAGAAGACATTTCCAATCTGTGGCCCACTTCTAGAATAAAACCTCATCAAATAATTCATTTAATCAAAACCTTAGATGGTGACAAAGACTTAAATAGTCCCAGGGAATTACCAAGCTGAGAGAGAACTGGCTTTCATTGAAAAGAAATTATCGGAGGCACACGTGAATCATGTGGGTCTGAATCTTAACTGCATCATGGTCATATTTCCCTCCAAACATTCCCCTACAGAAACTTTAATACAAAGGGAATATATTATCTTAGAATGGATCTTTTTACCACATAAACCAAGTAAAAATTTAAAAATTTATATGGAAAAGGTCTCTGAATTAATTCTAAAAGGAAAATTGAGACTTTGTCAGTTATCAGGAATAGACCCAGCAGAAATTATAGTATCTTTTCTACATTGTCCTCTTGAGCTATATCCTGAGTCAAAGGGTAACCTGTACATCAGCCCTTACAACTTCAGATTATAACTGTAGCTCCAGGGGATCAAACACCTGCCTTCTCCAAAAAATAAAATCTCAAAGGTTTGTTTGACATTAATAGAGCAGTCTATAGACAAATATTTTGTTCTTTCAAGTTACCATACCCTACCCTAAACAAATCTGTCTAGTCCTTGACATTAATCTGGGTCTGTATACCTATGGGCCTCATTTAGACAGCAGATTAAAGATAGCCTATGCCTTTCTTACATGCATGCTTGATGGGGAAAGCCTTGTTAACCAATAACCTTTAAGAGGTGGGTCTTAGTTAAGGTGCGACTTTGCTGGGACCCAGGTAAAAAAAGGTGTGCACTTCCATGTGCACCCTCTCTGCACCTTTTCCTGTGGGATATTGCTGTGCTTTTAGTGAGTTTTCCCCTTATAATAAATAAAACGTAATTGTTTTATCCTTAGCTAGCCTGGTTATTTCCACACAAGCTCATATACACAATTGTTTCACAGAATGAAGGTAGAAGTCATAGCTGACTTGGGAAACATCTGACTTATTTCTGAATTTTATTGTTTCTCCTCATTGTGGGAGAGTGAGAAGGGGGTGGCAGGTGGTGAATCCATCATCCTCGGCACCCCTTTGCTTTGCTTTTCCACGGTTGCTACCACTGTATTAATTCTTCTGGTGTTTTCAGGTGTTTGGCTGTGGGGAGCAGCATCATGGTGTCACGAATGGCAAGCTTCATCGTCCCTTTCACCAACCAAGTCTGGATTGTCCTGCCACAGGTCCTTATCACTGTCTAGACACTGGGATAACCGAGAGGCTGGGCAGCCAAGAGATACTAAAAGAGCAGAGACGTAGGGCAGCCCACAGACACTGGATAACAGAGAGGCAGGGCAGCCAATAGATCCTGGGAAAGCCGAGAGGCAGGATGGGACAACCAATAGACACAGGGATAGCAGAGAGGCGGGGCAGCCAGTAGACTCTGGGATAGCAGAGAGGCGGGACAGCCAGTAGACACAGGGATAGCAGAGAGGCGGGACAGCCAGTAGACTCTGGGGTAGCAGAGAGGGAGGGCAGCCAGTAGACTCTGGGGTAGCAGAGAGACAGGGTAGCCGATTCTGCCATTTCTGGTTTTGTTTTTGGAGACCAATATAACCATTGTATAATGGAGTTTTGTTGAAACAGGAGAGCTCACTAGTGGGTAAGTAGGGAAGTGGGGGTGGCTGACCGTCTTCAGTCCCTCTGAGTTATTATTCACCCCACTCTGCCCCTGGCCTGGAGCCACCAGCACTTTGGAGGGAGGAGCTCTGCCTTGTGTCAGCTCTCAGGCGTCTGCCCCACTACCTAGCTCAAACCTTGCCTCTGCCCTCCCACAGTGGGCCTCTTGCTCTGGGAAAATCTTGGAGGCTGCCTGCTCCCTGCGGTGCCTTGAGAGGCTTTTCATGGACGAGGCTACCCTCTTGAGTTCTTGTGGCCCTGGCAGTGTGAGCTGTTGACTTGTGTTTGGAGAGGGAGAACAGCTGTGTTCAGAGTCACACAGAGGAACAGAGAGGCTGGGAAGTGGGTGGATCATACCTGGGTGCCCCTGGCCCTTCCAATCAGGAGGAATATGGAGCTGGGGAGGACGGAGAGCAGGTACAGTGGTGCACGACCCTGCATCCCAGGGACTTGGGACTCTCAGCATAATGGTCTCTTTCCCCCAGATGCCCTTTGCAGATGCCCCTCTACACTCCTTGGCCTTTTAAAGCACCACTTCTTTTTCTGCCTGCTCCTTTCTCCAGGATTCCGACGAGCCTCTCCTACACTCTGCTAACTTCTCTCCTCTCTTCCAGGCTAACACATGTTGTTGCTAGTGTTGTGACTATTCTGTCTGGATATCATTGGAGCTGGTCAGCAATTTAACGTCCATCCTCCTCCTGTCTTACACTTTTAGTCAAGGATAGTGACCTCAAGCACACTTGGACATGGCCTTTTAGTTATCCCATTGTGTGTGTGTGTGCATGTGTGTGCGTGCGCACACGCATACAGGTGCATGTGAACTTTGTGTGTGTGTGTGTGTGTGTGTATGTGTGGTGTACGTGTGTGCATGCATATGTGTGCAGAGGCCAGAGGTCACCCTCACGTGTTCCTCAGGAACCACTCATCTTTGAGGCTGTTATCGCCCGTTACCCGGGCAATACCAAGTAGTTTAGGCTGGATGGGCAGCAGCTCCCATGGATCTGTCCATCTCTGCCTCTCCAGTGCTGGGAAGACAAACACGCCCTAATACCTCTAGCCTTTCTGTGTGGGTTCTCAGGAGCAAATTGAAGTCTGGGTGTGTGTAGAGAACATTTTGTTGACTGTGCTTTCTCTTCAGCTCCATACTGACGTATTTTTGTAAGAAACACTAGCGTGACCTCAGAAGAAACCAGTGTGGATTCCCACCTGCGCCATCTTGTATGCACAAGTGGAATGTGGATTTTTTCTCTGGGAATCAGTGGCCTTTTGGAGTGTCACCCACCTCCTGCCAGCAAATGCTCAGTCCGGTCTGCTTCTGGTACTGGATCCCAGCCTCTTTGACCAGATAACTCTGAGGTTGAGAAATAGCTTTGGTCACTGTGGCTTGCCTTTCTTCTACTCTGGATACGTGGGCAGTGGCTCTTGGTTGGGGACTATCCTGTACTTAAATATTAAAGGAAAGTGGGGGGCACAGAAAGCATGATAAGGGAGATGAGCTACTTCTAAGCTCCAAATTGTGCAGAGTGAAAAGCATTTGCTAGGGTACAAAATAAATCATGAAGACGATCGGATGAGTTAAGTGGAATTGGTCATCCCTGCCAATAATTGCCTAGTCTAGTGGTGAAGCGATGAGAATTATGCAGTACGCCATGTTGGTGAAAATCGATGCCCACAATTACAGTGGTACAGGAAACACTACACTAAGTATCACGCTCTTAGTGATCAAAGTGATTTTGAAGTCATTGATAGCTTGCCAGAACAGACTAGAATAAAGTTAGCTATGCAAGTTTCAAGTGCAATAAGACCCGGGAGGATTTGTTTATAGAAAAATGAAGACTATGGCCACCTGGGATATTAAGGTTCAGGGTTTCGTGAAAGCATCTCCTTTAAGCTAGCACTTTGTATCTTAGAGGAAGGGAGGGAGGGAAAGAGGGAGGGGAGGGAGATCAAAATATCCTTTAAAACAAGCAGCCAGACTCACAAAAGAAGACAGACAAATTCATAAAAGCAAACTGCTATAAATTCACACAAAAAAAACTAAGTAATTGTATGGGAGGACATTTGCAAGGGCATTTTAAGGGCTGTAGAATAAAAAGGATCTTTCATTTAGCAGATGCTTAGGTGGACTTAGTTTTAAGTGCTTTGCTGATGCTAATTTTTGTGTAAAATGGACATATTGTTTCCTTCCTTTACAAGCAAGGAGAAGGACTTGCAGAAAATAATTATTAACCTAGGTCTGTCATCATAAAGGAGCCAGAGTATGGCCCTTGAATAAGATAGCCCTGTGGTACAGTATGAGTTAAAGATGTGTGACATCTGTTTATGCTGTGGAACATCTGTTGAATGATGCAAAGATGTGTTGCATTCTTTTATGTTTTTAAAGTAATAATAAGTTTTTGTGTGTGTTTATTTGGGAGCTGGGTGGTGGGCCCCCAGAGAGTAAAAGATTTTACAAAAAACCATCTTTATGGCTCCCCTAGGCTCTTATATTTGAATGCTTGGTTATCAGGGAGTGGCACTATTTGAAGGATTGAGGTGTGGCCTTGTTAGAGAAAGCCCCGTTACTGGGGATGGGTTTGGACGTGCTCAATGTCTCACTCTTCCTGTTGCTTACATAAAGATCTGGATGTAGAAGTCTCAATTGCTTCTAAAGCCCTGTGTCTGCTGTGTGCCACCTGCTCCCCACCATGATGATAATGGACCACGTCTCCAAAACTTTAAGAAGCTTAAATTAAACACTTTTTCTTATAGGGGTTGCCACTGTGACTGTGTCTCTTTATAGCAATAGAACAGTGACTAAGACAGAAGTGGGTACCAGGGAGTTGGGGTATTGTTGTGACAGGCCTGATCATGATGCTTGCTTGCAGAATGTGGACTTTGGATTAGGAATGCAATTGGACACTTTAAGTAGGGCTTAATGGGCTACACTAGTAGGAGTGTGGAAGACAATGTTGCTGAGAGCAATGTGTAGTTGGGTTTTTTTTAAAATTCTTTTCTCTTTGCTCTTTTGGGGGCCCATCACCAAGGTCCAAATAATCACATGGAGGCTTATTCTTTTTCATGAATGTCCAGTCATAGCTTGGCTTATTTCTAGCCAGCTTTGCTTAAATTATCCTATCTTTTGCCTCTGGGCTTTTCTTTTTCTCTAGTCTATATACCTTTATTTACTTTTTACTCTGTAGCCTACTGTATAGCTGGGTGGCTGGCCCCTTGATGTCCTCCTATTTATTCTCTCTGCCTGCCAGCTCTGCCTATCCTTTTTTCCTGCGGAGCTATTGACTGTTCAGTTCTTTATTAGACCCATCAGGTGTTTTAGACAGGCAAAGCAACACAGCTTCATAGAGTTAAAGAAAAGCAACGTAAAAGTAAGCCACACAACTTTGCATCATTAAATATTCTGCAGCAAAAACAAATGCAATACATCTTAAAATAGTATTCCACAACAGCAATGCATATTATAATGGCCCAGCTCAAGAGTTTTCAGATGGGAAGAAAATTAGTGAGTGGTTTCTTTTCTTGTGATATTTTGGTGAAGAATGTGGCTGCTTGAGGATAAATGGGAGAGTTTTGGATTAATGGTGTTGGCAAAGGAGATTTCAAGACAGCCTTGTATTGACTGTTTCTCATGGTTGTTAGTGACCATTCTTAAGTAGCTCTTTATCTATAAAGAAAAGGAGCAAACTGAGCAAGGAAAAATACAAAATGTACAGTTTGAGGAGAAAAGGAACACCAGGAAGGGTAATGGAGCTAAGTCCAGTACTCAAAGAGATAAAAAGTTTAAAGAAAAGCCCAATGCTAAATGGAATAAAGGGAGTGGTGATTTCAGAGCAAGACCCCACCCAGCTAAGTTTTCCAACTTGTGAAAAGGAACTAAATGAAAGTTTAAACAGTGAAGGAAATTGTCTAAATTAGAAACTGATGAAAATGTATTTGAATGAGGTGCAGTTGTAAAGGTGAATCCTGGATCGTGTTGGAAATGCCAGAGCCATAGAATACCTTCCAAGGAAAGCTGCTCACAGGGAGTAGAACCAGCTCAAGAGAAAGGCACATTACAGTGAGCAAAGTTAGAAGGAGGTTCCAAAGAGCTTTTTGACATCAGACATGGAGATACAGAGTGTGCAGTTTGCCCAGCTGGTTTCCAGTCTTGCTCTGGTCCAGTATTTCCTCACTATGCTCCCTCTCCTCCGTTTTGAAATGATAATGTATATCCTGTGCCATTATATGTTAAAAGTATGTGATCTTCTTGGTTTTGATATGTGTGAGGTTACAGATTACCATGAGTAGCAGAAGAAACTTTGAGTATTGAGACTGGGATCGACTATGGGAACTTTTACAGTTGGACTGAATGAGTTTTTATATTGTGGCCTGGCTACATGTAAAAACAAGATGTCTTGTGCACACAGATAAGCCCTGGAGAAGCCAGGAAGGTTAAACACACAGCTCACCTCTTCAGTGGAGTAGGACAGAGCTGATCTTCCTGGAATGCCAGGAATGCTGTAGTTTTACAACCTGCTGATCCTTTGCTGTCTGATGAGACAGGCTCTGCCCATATCTTCCAGAATTTGTGGTTTAACTTATCCTAGACCCTTTGCCCTAAATCTCGAGCATTGCTTTTAGACCATAAACCCATTCTTACTAGTGATGTCACCTGTGCTTTACAAAAGCCGAGGTGACCTACACGTTATCTTTGGGCCAGGCCAGTTCTGACTCCCACGGGCATTTTGTTTACTTCGGTCATTCTCCCTAGACCCTTATCTTGAGCGTCTGTGCTTTGCTGAGAATGTCAATGTAAACATTGCTTAAGCGTTGTTCCACTCATGGGACTAAGTTAATTGTTATCTGAATACTTTTTTCCTCAAAACTGTGCTTGTCCATAAATGTGGCTAAACTGATTTGGGCCAGGCTCTAGAGTCCGGATCCAGTGCTGGCTACAATAAAATTGGCCTGAGCTGAGTTTCATTCTTACCTCACTCTGATCCTTTATCCCTGCCTTCTGGAAAGCCTGCAGGGGAGCTCTCACAGCTACAGGCCTATGGGGGCCAGAGAGTAGAATGTGGAGGGTTGAATAAGAACAACCCCCAAAGTCTCCTCGTTTGATTGCTTAGTCACCAGGGAGTGGCAGTACTTGAGAAGGATTAAGAGGTGTGTCCTTGTTGGAGTAGGTATGGCCTTGTTGGAAGTGTGTCACCAGAAACTGTAAACGAGCCCCCATTAAATGCTTTCTCTTGTGAGAGTTGCCTTGGTAATGGTGTCTCCTTACGGCAATAGAACACTGACTAAGACATGGAGCTTGGACGCCAGCCCGCACACTGTGTCTCTGTTACATTAAGTCAACCAAACAAGAGATTGGTGCTAAAGGGAATGTGGCTACAGTCAGTTCCCCCTTCCCTTCCTGCCCTGAGGGCCAGTTCCCTTCTCCTAGACAGTGTCTGGCTGCAGGGACTCACCCATGTTTATGGGAGCCTCTTGCAAATGTGCCTTTGTGGGTACAATAGATTCTGCCTGCTCTGTGGGATGAGTTCTACAGCATGATTCAGTTTGTTCATTGATGTAAAATTGGCTGGGGAGCCAGTGTTTTCACTAAAACACCAGCTGAGAAGCTTTTATTTTCTCCTTCGAAGAGGATCACTTGTTTTGGTGCCTGTGTTATTGGCCATTACTTAATCGAACAAAGGGTGACCAATGAATTCATTTTTCTGTGCTCATAGGCTCACTTGGCAAATTGTTACTGCTGCTGTTGTTGTTGCTGCTGTTTTTAAGGGAAGAAAGAATTACTTCAGCTCACAGCTTCAGAGGGCTCAGTCTGTGGTTTGGTCCTGTGCACGTTGGTGGTATGTGGTGGAAGAGGTACTTCTGGCTGGGCAGGGAGCAGAGAAGGCAGCAACTGGATCTTCAGTGTTGATGCTAAACTAACCACCCTGCTAGGTAAAACAGAGCAAGAATGAAAGAGGTAGTCTGTACCCCAAGATTTCTAGTCAGTGGAGACTGCAGAAGAGCTAAGATTGCCTGCCAGAGATATTGCTGGAGCACGGGGCATGGGAGTGAGCCGCTAACCCAAGTTCGGTTCAGAGAGGCTTTCTGCAGGAAGGGATGTTGTCTATATACAGGGACACACACACACACACGCACACACACACACACACACACACACACACACCAGGCACAAGGAACAGTAAACCAGAGGTTTTGAGGGAAAGGCACACTGGGCATAGGTACTGTGGCTAATAACTTGTACAGAGCCTGGGCGGATGTCAAAAAGTCTAGAAGAATGGGAAAGTCACATATCCACAGTTTCTGGTGGTCCTCGGTGACCTGGTGTGTGTCTGAGGCCAGGAGGAGTCACCGTAAGGGCTGGAGGAATCCCAGGAGAAGAGTCAGTGTGAAAGAAAGACCTGTCAATGTGATGTGGGCGTCTGTCCGATGGCTAGGATGAGGCCCTGAGGTAGGTGGGTACTCCTCCAGTGTGCACGCTCGGAGACACAGAGCCCAGGAGCAAAGATGTTAAGATGTGGTAGGAAGAGGAAGCCAGGAGAGGGCTGAAGGGATCAGTGTGTGGGGGAAGAGCTGATGAGCTGCAGAGGCCCAGGACCAGGAGAGCTGAGAAGGGGAACACAGGAGGACCTGGGGACGAGTTGGGCAAGGGAAGCCAAACACATGTGCTTCTTGATAGGATGTCACAGCAGAAGTGACAGAGCCTTGAGCGTGTTTGTTATAAGACGGTAACGACAGCTGTACGTGTGGATTGTTTATGATGAGCCTGGCGTGTTCTCAGCCTTACTTACATCAGTACCTTAGCAGTCCCTGCGGCCTCTCTGTGTGTGCTGTGTATGTGTTCCCGGGAGTGCATGCACAGGGGTTGGACATGTGAAGACCAGAGGTTGTCACTAAGTGTCTTCCTCAACTGTTCTCCACCCTCTAAAGACGTTGTTTGTGGGCGTATGATGTGTGCAGATGGGCGCATGCACCACAGCCTGTGTGCAGAGGTCAAAGGGCAGCTCTGTAGGGCCAGTTCTCTCCTCCGGCTTTTACGTGGGTTCTGGAAATTGGGTTCAAGTTGTCAGCCTCGTGTGGCAAGCACCTATACCCGCAGAGCCACTTTGTTGGTCCTCGGCGTTGTGTTTTGAGACAGGGTCTCTCTCTGGATCTTACTGACTCGCCTAGGCTGCCAGGCAGTGGTCCAGGGATCCAGCTGTCTTCAGTTCCCCAGGGCTGGAATGATGGGTGCCTGCTACCCCGCCTGGCTTGTTATGTGCACTGAGGATCTGCCCTCCAGTCCTCATACTTGTGCGACAGGCGCTTTATTGACTGAGCTATTTCATCAGCCCCAGCGGGTGCTGTCATTAGTCCCATCTTACAGACAAGGAAACCGAGGAGCCGGGATATTAAGTCGCTTACACGAGATCCCAGAGGTGCCAAGTGACAGGAACCCAAGCAGAGTGGGTAACAGCCACCAGGAAGGAAATGGTCACGTGAAGGTGGGAAGGAGGCAGGACTGCTGGAGGGTGACAAGGTGGCCGAGGGGTAAGTGAGGGACTAGAGTCTGACTGGAATGGAGGGACTTGTCTGACCAGGAGGCTGGAGAGGTAGGAGACTGCTGAGGTGTTTTTGAAGTTTGCGGGGTAGCATGAGTTTTGGGGGCAGCAGGTGGAGGAAGAATTGGGGACTTGGGGGCTTGTCTGTTGTCTGGCCTGCAATTATTGCTACATGGCATGGTGAGGACGTTTGCCTGGGATTCCAGAATTCTGGAGGTGTAGGCAGGAGGATTGTGGATTTGAGACTAGCCTAGACTGAACAGTGAGATACCATCTCAAAAACAGTGAACTTTTCCAGGAAACCGCTGCACACTTCCTCACAGTGCCGTGCACGCGGCGATTCACTTTCACTCCCTTTGCTTTCTCTCCCCCTAATCTCTGGAGGTTCTAACTCATTGTAAGTTTCATTTATGTATTTGTCCCTCTTCCTCATCATTTACTGGTGTGATGGCTAAAAAGACTCTATTTTATGCTCACCATCCAGCTTGGTACCCACTACCTGTTTGTGTCTGACTCCGTCCCTGGAAGACAAATTCCCAGTAACCCTGACTCAGTGACCCGCACCCAGAGATGTTCGGCAGTGACCATCTGCTTGTTATGTTATGGCTGACTGCTTTTTGGCTCTGTAACCTGCTTATGCAGACATTCAGGTTGCCTGACTACCTAATCTTGGCAGAGTAAAACGGCTTTTGACTTGCTTGAGTGGATACGCAAGGTGTTTTTGTGTTTGTTGCCTTTAAAAACCCTTCCTTCACCCCTCCCCACTTCTCTTGGCAACCTTGTTTGGCGCAGAGATTGCTAACAGTAATCAATAAATCCTTTAATTATAATTGGATTAAGTCTGTGGTCTTTTTCCAGGGGTCAGGAACTCCCAAACCCTGGATGATACGGCAGGGCCGATGACCTCGGGGCTCAGCACCTGGTTTCTGTACACCCTGGGGTCTAGAAAGAAATCCAGGGGCTTTTTTTTCTCTGCCACAGCTTCTAAGACAGAGCCTGCAAGGGAACTAATGCAAGCGGGAACTGGCGCTTCTTGGCCAGAAACCCTCCATGGTTTGTGAATGACTGAACTGAGATTAAGTCTTGATTATGCTAAAATGAACTCCCACCCAAGCACAAGTAGCCTAAAGACCTCAGCAAGGGCCCAAAGACACTAACTTTTAATGTCAGCCCCAACTCTGTTGCCCCCTGAGAAAAGGGTCCAGTAAAGTTCTTATTCTCAGAAGGGTCCATTTCTTTTTTGTGTGTCACTTACTATCTTTGTTATTATTTATTTATTTATTGTAACATTTCTTCTAGGTTTTGTTTGGGATCCTGGCCATACTGAGTGGATTGTTGTCGCTGAAGCTCCCCGAAACCCTCAACAAACCTTTGGCATCTACCTGGGAGAAGACTGAACAGAAGGCGCCAGAAAACAAGGACGGCTCAGACGAAGCCCCTCCTACAGCCCAGAAGGGTGGCTCCGGCAAAGCCCTGCCCACAGCTAAGAACATTGAGATGGGAAAACACGGAAGTGATTAACATGGGGGATTCTGATGGTGTTAAATAAGTCTTACATGGCACCCAGCACTTGGGATGTTGACATCGGCGACTTGCTGTTAGAGAGGTGTTGTGTATCTGTATAAAAAATGTTGTGAGAAAGTTTGAAAAAAAATTGTTTTGTAAAAGCCAGTGAAATATAAACTGGTATGAAAATTCTAGTTCTTTGAAGCCATGGATTGTTGCTTATTTGTTCCTCATTGACTTTTCTTTGCGTTGGTTTCCCTACCCACTCCTTGCCATCACACAGGTTTGAGAGATCATGGAGTAGGCATCTCCATGGGTACCAGTGCTCCCAAACCCAAGGACTACCCCAAGGACCATCAGCTAGGAAGGGTGCATGTGAGAATTTTTGTTTCTTCTTCTTGCCGCATCCTCGCCTCTTCTGTCTTCTTTCTTTTCTTTTTGTTTTTTAAGAACAGAGTATCACACTGCAACCCAGACTGGTTCCAAGCTCACGATTGCCTCAGCCTCTTGAATGCTGGCGTTTTGAGTATGACATGCTACAACCGGGCTTTGTGAGTTTTTTTTTTTTTAAACAAAACCATTTAAATTCTGATGTTCTTTCCTTGTTTGTGAATCTCCCTCACAAAAGCCTTGTTAAAAGATGTTTGCCTTCATAATGAAACCATAAGAAGCCAGAATTACAAAAGGATGACCTGCTTTCCAGCACACTTGAAGGTGCAAGGTTTGGGCCAGTTATATCTGCCACGGGCCAATATTTTAATTTTCTTCCCAGAGTTACTAAATTTTCTTTGGAGGTTTACTTGACAGTATGGACAAATGGTGGTGTGCACATATACACATTGTGCAGTTAGCCCAGCATTCAGGGAGATTGACTTTAGGGTCCATTTGGCTCTGTTGCCAATGTTAACTCGTGTGTCTTCCTGTTCTCTTAAGAGATCATATATGGGGGCTGGAGAGATGACTCAGGAGTTAAAAGTTCTCAGTGCTCTTGCAGAAGACCTGGGTTTGGTTCCCAGCACTCACAATGTTGCTAACAACCATCTGGAACTCAGGTTCCAGGGAACGCAATATTCTCTTCCCATCTCTGTGGGCACTGCATGCAAGTGGTGTATGGACAGATGTGGAGACCAAACAGTCATACACATGAAATAAAGATCAATAAATCTTTAAAATATTTCTCATTATAATATAACTTTTAGTTTATTTTTTTATTTTTATTTACTAAAAATGGTCTCTTCAGCCTCACTTTATTCTAAGGTCTGTTACAAATAGCTTAACATCTTGGACATTGCAATTACTAATGATTTTGTAACCTTATCTATTAATGCATTTCAGATTTACCACTGTTCTGAAAGGTACGAAGCCCAAGATGAAGATGCTGACAGAGCATGCATTATGAAGTCTTCTTCCGTATCCTGCACATGAATGACATTTCTCTGTGTAGTTGCTGGAGAATGTGAGAGCCACCACTATCTCTTTTTACAAAGTGCCCATACTCATGACCTCACTAACCCCAGTAACCTCCCATGTTCCCAGTCATGTTGGGAGTTAGGGCTTTGGCATTGCGTTATGAGGGACACAGATATTCAGTCCAGGGCATCATCTGTTCTCTGTACCAACCAATGTCTAGTCCAGATGATGCAAAGCAACCTGGAAATCATTCAAGATCTTTTAAGCAGAGAAGGGTTGAATGCACGAACCAGTTCCAAAGTGTAGAGAGGACTGACAGAATACACTGGAGTAGAAAAAGTTGCCAGGAGACCAAGAAAGCTGCTCACAACTGGGCTGGAGCCCGCTAGCCTGTTCTGCTTTTACTGCCAATGCTGGAAACACCCTTCTGTTGCTGACCCGAAATCCAGGGGCCCACACCGCCCTGCTGCTAATAAAGCTGCAATCATGTTTTCAGCTTGAATTAAGTTGAAGTTTTCAGATTAATTTAGGGAAAATGGAATCTTTGTTCTGCCTTTAATTCTTCTATTAATGATGTTGTGTTCTCTGTGTCTTAGGGTTGCATTACTGTGATGAAATATCATGACTAAAGACAGGTTGGGGAGGAAAGGGTTTATTGGCTTATGTTTCTGTATCACTGATCACTGTTGTTCATCAAAGGAAGTCAGCACAGGGCAAGAACCTGGAGGTCGAAGCTGATGCAGAGGCCATGGAGGTGCTGCTTACTGGCTTGCTTCCCATGACTTGCTCAGGCTGCTTCCTTCCCTCCCTCCCTCTCTCCCTCCCTCCCTCCCTCCCTCCCTCCCTCCCTTCCTTCCCTTCCTTCTGTCTTTCTGTCTTGTTTTTCGAGACAAGGTTTCTCTGTCAGAAGAAAAGTCCAAAGATAGCTTTGGAGCCTGTCCTGGAACTCGCTCTGTAGATCAGACTGGCCTCAAACTCACAGAGACCCACCTGCTTCTGCCTCCTGAGTGCTGGGATTAAAGGCGTGTGCCACCACTACCTGCTCAGGAGGGTTTCTTACAGAACCTAGGACCACTTGCCCTGATGATCCTAGATGAGAAATAGATGGCACCACCCCCAGTGAGCTGGGCCCGCCCTCATCAATCACTGTGTTAATCAGTGGTGAGCACAGCCCCCTCCAGCAGCAAGGAAGCTAGGCAGTGGGGATGAAGCTTCCAAGTTGGTACCAGCTTAATTTCTCCATTTCCTATGACTCACTTATGTGTGTCTTTAGCAATAGAGCCTTACCATAAAGTTCTGAAGGGCACCAAAGAGCAATGGCCACAGCCTGTAATGTTTGAAGTGATCTATGGGGCCCTATTGATCAACAGTTCAAAAAGATGGAAGCCCTACAGCAAGCAGATAAGAGGGCTCTGCCCCTTGGCTGGGCAAGACAGTGGAACTGGCCCTGGTGGTGGGAGCATGAGCCGGACTGAGGGCCTGAGAAAAGAACTGGCCCCGCAACTTGTGACAGATTGCTGCAGGCTGTGATGGGTGAACTGGTCGAGGCAGTACTGGAGAGCATGCCCGGTGTGTGTGTGTGTGTGTGTGTGTGTGTGTGTGTGTGTGTGTGTAAACCTGTAGGGGGTAAGGGTCGGGAGTATAGACAATAGAGGAAAGCTGGCATCCAGGCCCAGGACCGGGGCTGTGGATGGGCCACCCCAACACCCGTCGATGCAGACGGATGATACATCTGTGAGAGCTGTTGGAGCAGGAGAGGGGTGGGAACCTTTAGATTCAGGGCTGCGGAGTCTCCATGACATGGGAGGTCCAGGGGGCCAGGGAGCCAGGCTGTGGGGTCTCTATGACACGGGAGGTCCAGGGGGCCAGGGAGCCAGGGCTGTGGTGTCTCTATGACACGGAAGGTCTAGGGAACTGGATAGCCAGAGCTGTGGTGTCTCCATGACACAGGAGGTCCAGGGAGCCAGGGCTGTGGAGTCTCCATGACACAGGAGGTCCAGGGGGCCAGGGCTGTGGTGTCTCCATGACACGGGAGGTCCAGGGGGCCAGGGCTGTGGAGTCTCCATGACACGGGAGGTCCAGGGGCCCAGGGAGCCAGGGATGTGTGGTCTCCATGACACGGGAGGTCCAGGGGCTCAGGGAGCCAGGCGAGAGCTCATTGCAGATGGTGTGGTGGAGGAGAGAAGCCGCGAAGCAGACCGATGATGCGTGGCAGTCGGCTCTTGCAGGTCAAAATGGAAGGACTAATGAAGGAAGTCACACCACAGCTTCCATGGCGAAAGTCTTTTTTCCTTTCTTCTTTTGCTTTGTTGGTCTGGTAACCCATAGCTGGGACCGGGCTTTTTGTTTACCAGCCTATGGCATCTGAGAGGGGCGATACCCACCCGTTAGCGTGAAACACAGCTGCTTCACTGTGTTAATGAATTGATTTATGTATATCATGAAGCGTCTACAGTAGTCAGTTTCCATATGGCTTTTCCCAAGGTCTCTAGTGTGAGTTCCTCTTGAGACTCCTCCCGTCTGCCTCCTCACTGAACCTCCGTTTCTCCTCTTTCCTTCTTCACGTCATCTGTGTTCTGTCCCCCGTCCCTTGAAATATCCCCAATGGCTCCTAACTTTCCCAACCTCTATGACTACATCAATGTAAATACATCTACAGATTGAAAGATAGGATGCGCTTCAAGCTGTAGGCACAGATGAGGACTCTGAATCTGACTCCGGTATCTCAGGAATGAATAGCAACAGTTGGTGATAGGACCTTATGAGGCCAAAGAGCTTCTGTATAGCAAAGGGCACCATCTTTAAGTGAAGAGGCAGACTAGAGGGTGGGGAAAATGTTTAGCAACCTTATTTCTGATAGTGTTAATGTCTAGAGCATGCAAAAACAAACTTTAACACCAAGAAGGCAGCCCAATTTTAAAAATGGGGCATGTAACTAAATAGAGAGGCCCAAAAGAAGTAAAATCAGCTCAAAACTATTTTTAAAAATATTCAACATTCATAGCCATAAGGGAAGTGAAAAATTAAAACCCCTTTGAGATTTCATCTTACCCTAATCAGAATGACTAAAATAAAAGAAAAAGAAAAACAAAACAACCTTATTCCCCTAAACAAAACAGAACATGAGTAGCAAATGTTGGCACAGATACGGGAAAAGGGAGACAGTTTTCACCATTGGTGGGAATGCAAACTGGAGGCTGCTATGGAAATCAGCATGGTGGGGGGGTCCTTAGAAAGCTAGTATAGATCTAACATAGGGTCCAGAGGTTCCACTCTGGGCAAACCCTCAGAGACATCTGTATCTTACTATGGAGGTACTACTCACGGTCACTGTGCCTCCCGTCACCATAGTCAGGGGGTAGCCTGGACGTTCATCCACTGATGCATGTATAATGAAATGTGGCATGTGTGTACATTGGAATTTTAGTCATCTCTCAAAAATTAAAATTTTCAGGTAAAGGATGGAGCTGAACACAATAATATTTGGTTATATTTATTCTTAGATGTAAATTTTTGTTGCAATTGAAATTGTCCAGGTTGCTAATGTTGGCTTTTCTAACTGCACATGACTGACAGAAAATTATTTAATTTTTATTTATTTATTTATTTTGTCTCTTAAGGCAGAGTTTAATGTAGTCCAAGCTGGCTTCAAACTCACTAAGTAGCTGAGGGTAACCTTGAACTCATGATCCTGCCTCCATCTCCCACATACTAGATTACGGGTATGTACAACCATGCTTGGAGGGAATGAGATCAACTTTTTATCTTAACCTTGTACTTAACAGCCTTGCTAAGTATTTTTAATTAAGAAGGATGCTAACTTTATTTAATAGAAGGGAATTTAGGTCTTTCATTACAGAAGTTCACAAATATTCCTCAGCCATTAAGTCTCCATTCTTTCGCTTTGCTGCATAGGCATTTCTTCCTCCCTCCCTCCTCCCTTCCTTTTTCTCTCCACCTCTCTCTTCTTTTCTTTTTTTGTGAGTTTTTAAAGATAGGCTTTTTTTCTTTCCTTCTTCTTCTTCTTCTTCTTCTTCTTCTTCTTCTTCTTCTTCTTCTTCTTCTCCTTCTCCTCCTCCTCTTCTTCTTCTTCTTCTTCTTCTTCTTCTTCTTCTTCTTCTTCTTCTTTTCCTTCTTCTTCTCCTTCTTCTTCTTTCTGTTCATCTCCAGTTGTCCTGGAACTCACTCTGTAGACCAGGATGACCTTGAACTCTGAGACCCATGTGCCTCTGCCTGCCAAGTGCTGGAATTAAAGGCATGTGCCACCATGCAAGGCTTGGGGATTTCTTAAATTTTGATTTAATACTTGGAAAATAAAAATATACTGCCTCTGTAATACTTGGTAGCTAATCATAGCACATCAGCTCCATCCACTATTGTAAGTATTCAGGAAGCAAATACTTTAACTCTTTGACTTCGGCCGTGCACCTGTGAAATATTCGCAGTAGGTCTCACCAGACGCCTCCCCCCCCCCGTTTCTTCTGACCCTCACCAACATTGGTTTTCTTAGCAATTTATCAGATTAGCCATTATTCAAGTCACATTGCTAATCCTCTGTATAATGAAGGCCTTCAGTGTTGCCCACGCTTCTTTTTCTTGTTTTTTAAAGGAAAGTAGAGCCCCAGCCAGGGGAGGGGGAGGTACCTTCCACAGCTTTCATTGTCATAGAATCCCAGCACTTCCACAGACTGCTCCTGCACACCTTCCATGTGCCTCCTCTCCCTCCTCAGATAGCTCCCCCTCTCTCCTCAGGTAGCTCTCTTTCTCCTCAGATAGCTCCCTCTCTCTCTTCAGTGTCTCCCTCTCCCTCCTCAGATAGCTCCCTCTCTCTCTTCAGTGTCTCCCTCTCTCTCCTCAGGTAGCTCCCTCTCTCTCTTCAGTGTCTCCCTCTCTCTCCTCAGGTAGCTCCCTCTCTCTCTTCAGTGTCTCCCTCTCTCTCCTCAGGTAGCTCTCTCTCTCCTCAGGTAGCTCCCTCTCTCTCCTCAGTGTCTCCCTCTCTCTCCCTCTCCTCAAGTAGCTCCCTCTCTCTCTCCTCAGGTATTGACTGAGGTTTCTGTCCTGCCTGGTTCCTGCAGTTGTTAAGTCCCAAAGAAAAACACAGAGGTCTACATTAGTTATAAAGTGATTGGCCTATTAGCTCAGGCTTCTTATTAACTCTTATAACATATTAGCCCATAATTCTTTTCTGGGTTAGCCACATGGCTTGATACCTTTTTCAGCGAAGCAGTCACATCTGGCTTCCTCTCTGTCTGGGTGACAACTGCAGACTGAAACTTCCCTCTTCCCAGAATTCTCATTGCCCCACTTCTACTTCCTGCCTGGCTACTGGCCAATCAGTGTTTATTTAAAATACAAGTGACAGGGTACAGACCATTGTCCCACAGCTCTTTAAACAAGAACTCTGAATCGAATTTCCTTTGCTTAGTTTTTCTACTGACCATTATCCATAACAACTTGTAACCAACATTATAAACAAAGGCAAACATCTATAGTACATTTTTTGGGGGGAATGTGGGCATAGTTTTTCAGGCTACTTCCTGCTGATTGGGGGCACTGATAATCCTATGGAGACCTAAAGAAAATTTAGAATTATGATCAAGTCCTGACTGGTGTATCCTGTGAGGCTTGATCATCTCAGTCTTAGAATTGTTCTGGATGTAGAACTCAGACATCTGGGCCATTCCTCCTATTGGAGATTTCTCAGGTGATCTTCCTTGGTCAAACCTGATTTTTCTTAGCCCAGAATGAATCCACAGTCCCTCATTTCCTGTGGAAACAAAAGAAAAACATCTAAAGTAACATATCTTTTGACTTAAATTTTAAAGTCAAAGCATTCTCAAAATACATATATTAGATTAATCCAGCAGCATTTATAATCAAATATCTTTTAGCAACTGTTCCTCCTTCCTCAGTCATCAAACAATGTAAAGACAACACAATAACATACAGTATCCAGACTTTCTGTGCATTTTTCATTTTTACGTGGCTTTATTTTAACCCCTATTTCTTTTATTTTTATTTTTAATTTTTGGCTTTTTGAGATAGGGTTTCTCTGTGTATCTTTGGCTGTCCTGGAACTCACTCTATAGACCAGGCTATCCTGGAACTCACAGAGATCTGCCTGCCTCTACCTCCCAAGTGCTGGGATTAAAGGTGTGTGCCACTATACCCAACTACTCTTTTTCTTTCGTTTTTTATTTTAAGGACTTTATCCTTTTTTCTTTTCTCTCCCAATCCTACATATATTTTTTAACACACTGTAAACCATCTAGAGGTTTTCTTCATCTGAATGTATCTTTACTGTATACCTCTCTTTTTTCTGACCATATGAGTCTTTAATTTGCTAAGTGATATGGCTAAGATTAAAGCCGTGGCTTTGATGGCTATTCCTGAGCTTTCTGAAAGGCAGAGGTACCAACTGGAGCCACATTTATCACCACAACTCTTTGGAGTTTCAAGGTCCCTGACACCACCAAAAATGATGCAGTCAGCTTTTCAACAACACTATTTGAGTGTTTTGTGGCAGGACTTCTTAAAAGAGCTGCAAGGTTTTGCAGCTAAAGCTGAGTCAGGAAGCCTCTCTTAAATGAGAGCCCTTACCTCTAGTAAGCAGAGCAGACCTGAGAAAGTGCTGCTATCAAGAAGTGTTGTAATAAGAGCAGCGGGCCGCATTCCTGCCGCCCGGCTCCTGGCCGCCAGCTAGCTTATGCCCCGAAATAATTACACGGAAACTGTATTCTTCTAAACACTGCTTGGCCCATTAGTTCTAACCTCTTATTGGCTAGCTCTTACATATTGATCTAATCCGTTTCTAATATTCTGTGTAGCAGCACCACGAGCTGGCTTACCAGGGAAGATCTTAACCTGTGTATGTCTGGAGTGGAAGAATCATGGCGACTGACTGACTCGGCTTCTTTCTCCCAGCATTCTGTTCTGTCTACTCCACCCACCTAAGGCCTGGCCTATCAAATGGGCCAAGGCAGTTTCTTTATTAACCAATGGCCTTCCTCCATCAAAGAAGCCGTGCTTAACTCTATTCTTTTCTATCTAGAATAACTTCCCAAACTCTCTCAGGCTTTTAAGTGGATTTGGTCAGCCCCACATTGGCATGCCATTCTGTTTTTTTAAAGGGGGGAAATGCTGTGGGACAATGGTCTGTACCCTGTCACTTGTATTTTAAATAAACACTGATTGGCCAGTAGCCAGGCAGGAAGTAGAGGCGGGGCAACGAGAATTCTGGGAGGAGGGATGTTTCAGTCTGCAGTTGTCATCCAGACAGAGAGCAAGCAAGATGTGACTGCTTCGCTGAAAAAGGTACCAAGCCATGTGGCTAACACAGACAAGAATTATGGGCTAATATAAGTTATAAGAGTTAATAAGAAGTCCAAGCTAATGGACCAATCAGTTTATAATTAATGCAGACCTCTGTGTGTTTCTTTGTTACTGAATGACTGCAGTACTGGGTGGGACAGAAACCTCAGCTCCCTTCTTTTCTCAGTACCTCCCTCCCTTTCCTCAGTGTCTCCCTCTCTCTCCTCAGTAGCTCTCTCTCTTTCCTCAATGTCTCCCCCGCTTTCCTCAGTCTCTCTCTCTCTTTTTCCTCAGTAGCTCCCCCTCTTTCCTCAGTCTCTCTCTCTCTTTTTCCTCAGTGTCTCCATCTCTTTCCTCAGTATCTCCCTTTCTTTTCTCAGTAGCTCCCTCTCTTTGGTTGGGCAATACTCTCTCTGTGGTTCACCGTGTAGGTTTCTGGCCTCTGCCTCTGGTCACACCATCCTCCACCCAATATATATCTTTCCTTTTCTTTGTTCATCTGGTCTTGGTGGTCCTTGGGGTCTTCCTACATTTCTTCCCCTTTCCTGAGCCTGCACAGCATCCATGTTTGTGCTGTTTATTAGAGGCCTGTCTTACTCTACCTGATACTAGAGGGGCAAACAGCATCTCAATTCTTTAAAACCCTCTCTAAAGTCTTTGCAATGTCCCTCAACTGAGGAAATAAACAGCAAGCATTTCCTGATTCTATCATTGTGGTTGATAAAATATGGCTATCTCATGGGATACCATACAGTCTACATATGGTTTTTATTCTCAGTTCCTGATAACTCCTAAAACTCCTTAGAACCTGGAGTGATAGAAGCGTCTTTTGTGTAGGCATGTACTTACTGACTTGTGAATGAGGGCCTCCTTCATCAAAGAGGCTGGTCATGGAAAAGACCAAGGCATGATCAAAAGGCAGAGGGTCCCAGCATCCTCCATCAACACTCTCCAGGTAAGGGAGAATTTATCCTCAATGATCAAAGCTGTAGCTGGTCACATGTACAGAAGTAAGTCTACATAAGATCTGAAAGGATAGGGTCAGCAGCTTCCTTCTGGCTCCTCCCCTGCAGCCTCTGTACCAGAGCACTCCCGAGTCCTGTGAGGTGCTACAGCAAATCAGTTAGCCCTGGTGTGGGCACTGCAAGACCCTAGATTTGTGGTGAAGCACAGGGCACTGCCTGAGATTTGAGATTGGCATCTGAACTAGATGAGAATCCTGATGAACTGGATGAGGCGTCTGATAGAGAATCTGTTGTATCGGTTGTCAGGTGTGTGTGTGTGTGTGTGTGTGTGTGTGTGTGTAAGAAAAAGTGGAAGTATTCCATAGCGAGTAACGGGGACTATGGGTACAGAAAGGGAGCACACAGTCTTTTCCTCTCTGACACCTGAACTGTCGTATTTAGAGTCTCACCTAGAGAAGCCCACCAGAGGCGCATAGCAACTTGCAAAGGGAAGCTACTTTTCCGTCATTTTCTGGTTGGGAAACAGACTCGGAAGTCAGCTGACTGGCTCAAGAGAAGAGAGTGAGGACCCTGCTCTGGTTGAGAGCATGAGCCTAGAGTCTACTACCCAGACTGGCCTTTATCACACAGGAGACCTCGGGCCTTTGCTCACTGCCTTGGATCTTCAGTGTATACATCTATAGAACTAGGAGGGTGCAATAATGTCTATCCCATCTCAGGATAGCAGTGTTACACGGTGGCACACGCACGGGCAGTGCTAAATTTCCTATTAATATACCAATGTTGTTATTCTTATATTAAATACGATTTGGGCTGGAGACGTGGCTCAGTGGTTAAGAACACTGGCTGCTCTTCCCGTGGACAAGAGTTCTGTTGCCAGCACCGACATAGGCTCACAACCAGCCCCAGGGGATCTGATGCCCCTCTTCCGGCCTCAGTGCCCTGCACTACTGTACACATACCCCACAGACCACAGCAACTTAAACATAAGATAAATCTTTAGAATAGATCATCACTACTGTGATACATCAGACTTGGACGTGATGATCAGTGCATCGCACTGTTGACACTCAGCAAGCACTGCCTCCCTTCTGTAAATACTTGGTTCCCTCTAACTTATTTCCTAAGTGTTTCAGCTGCCATCAGGCTTGCATTGCAGCTATCAGCAGCATTTCCCCACCTTGCGCCCTGTTCGTCCCCCATCTGCAGCTGCCCACCAGAGCCAGGTACCTAATGGCAGATGGCAGACAGCTCTGGACTGCGCATCGGGGAAACAGGGGTTTGGTTCTACCCGGAACAGGCCGCGGTTATTTACCATACAAACAGATCAGCTGGAGAAGCTCCAGCGAGGTGGCAAGCTGAAGTGCCTGGAAGGCAGACAGAGACAGGCCATGGGGGATGAACCTTCCTTAGCACGCTTGGCAGGGATGTGGCTCCACAGAGCTTGCATGCTCCTCTCTCCTGGCCTGAGGCAGTTGCAGCGGAATGGGCCAATAGAGAGCGAGCACAGGGAGAGTGTGCTTAATCATTTCCCCAATGGGAAGGAGTTTTGTTTTTTCTGTCTCTTAGGAAACCAGGCTAACTGGTCACTGGAAAACAAGTGTTGGTGCCAGGGCCTCCGGGAGATACAAGGCTGCCTTCTCAGAGGTATTTGAATCCCCACTTTTGGCTCAGGGGTCGTTTTGTCTGTACTCTGGGAGTTTGGAGGGTATGACTTGGTGGGATTGGAGCCAGAGATCGACAAGTCCTACCATACCAGGATCCTTCCTCTCTTTCTGGCTCTACTTCCCCTACCTGGCAGCTGGTTTATTCTTAGTCACAGATGGCTTTTGCCCTTGTGCCCTTACCAGAGCTGTGGAGAAAGCTGCTGGGCAGGCAAAGGCACTGTGGAATAGCGGGGCTAGTGAGGACAGGGCTGTCTGTCTTCTATTATTCCCCTGGGCTCCAGGACTTCCCTCCTCTGGTCTCCAGCCTTCTCTGCCAGACTCTCCTGTGCCTGGAACCCTTCTCGTTTTCCCCTTAGCTCTGGTGGTCTAGCGTCTCAGTTTGCCTGCCCAGAAACACAAATACAGCTCAGTAGTAGAAACAGCACACTCTAAAGCTCCCTGGAAGGTTTCAGAGGCTCACAGAGTGGGAGTCCTGTAGAGCGAGGAGGAAGCAGACAACCCCCAGAGCCAGCCCTCACGGCCTCTGCCACGGTTGTTTCCACCTGGCCTAATGCCCTGGCTGTTGCTCTTTGCAAGAAGGAATTGTACCAAGGGCAGATTTTTATGCTGACAACCCGAACAGCTGGTTGGGTATTAAAACTTTGCTCCCCAAGTGGCAGTGACTAAATAGAATAATTGTTCATTGGTCCCCCCTCTTTAATTTGGATTGAGCCCAACAGAGGGAGCTGGGCAGGGAGCAGATATAGCAAGACAAAGAAGTGAAGGCAGGTAGGGGCTGCCAGGGGAGGGTACTGAAGCCTTTGCTGCCCTCTTCACCTCCCACACAGATGCCAGCCTTTGGGCCCCCACCACAGGCACCTGGAACCTACGGTTTCCCCATGCCCTCCCACAAGAGGCCTATTTGGGAGAGAGCCTCCATGGCCTCTCATTTACCACTGCAGGAGCTAATAAGAATGCATTTGGTCTCGTCTTCATGAGGGCATGGGCCATTCCTTCATGTTATAGAACCATCCAGGGCACAGTCCAGCCAGGATCCCAGCTTCCCTTATTTTGAAAATGTGCTGTTCAGGTCCCAGGTCAGGCACTTCAGGCCCAGAGTTCTGAGAGCAGGAAGAGACAGTGATGGGGTCAGGAGGCAGGGAAGAGGGGGTTGCTTTCCAGAGCTGTGAAGAAGGGAAAACTGATGGTTTCCGTCAATAGAGCTCTCCGTGATGCTATTCTTCCAAACAGATGTGCACAAATGCTCCCGCTGGTGCCTCTGTGTCTGCTCTCCAGTGGGTCCTAGGAGCATAGGCCACAGCTCAGCACCTTCCCAGGCCTTGATTACCTCACCAGCACTCCCTAGGAGGTGCCCGTGGCGGAAAAGTTCACGCAAGCGCACAGTGACTAGAAAGCTGCGTCCAAACGCCGTGCGGTGGTGAGCATGGCGGCCGAGCTAGACTGGTTTTGTCTTGGTCACTAATGCCTGTAGAGACCTCGTGGCTCACACTGTTTTTTCATGGAGTGAGAGCTTAAAGATTTGCTGGGCTTCACGCACGGGAGCACCGGAAAGACATCTTACTCCGAGAGGGCTGCCTGATGTAAGGAAAGAATTGTCGCCTCGGGCTTTATCTGGGCAGAGGATTCCCTGAACAAGGTGGACAGTTTGCATTTCGCTCCTCTCAGGCCATGGAGACCGTGCGCATCGCCGTCGTGGGCGCTGGTGTGATAGGACTGTCAACTGCTGTGTGCATATCCCAGATGGTCCCCGGATGTTCCATTACCGTCCTCTCAGACAAGTTCTCTCCCGATACCACCAGCAATGTAGCAGCTGGAATACTTATTCCTCACACGTATCCAGGTGAGAAAGGGATCCTTTTGCAAGATGCTAATTTTGTACTAGGTGCTTTTCTTGTGATCCTCGCTCAGAGTCCCCTTGTGTATACCAGGCCCGAGTGAGTGAGCCTGAAGGCTGCCTGGTATACCCGGGGCATCTTTAAAGGAGGTAGGGGCTTTGTCACCCAAATCACAGGTCCTCTGCTCTCTTTCTGTGGCTGAGAGCCTTGGTATCCTGGGCTAGCTTCATCTTTCTGCTGTTGCTAGTGGAAGGCTTTGCGCTGTTCCCCAGATTTCTGCCTGAGACGTGATAAATACTGATCCTCCGGTAGGCTCTTGTGAGGATCAGATGAGCTGATATTCACAGAGTTCCAAGCAGTGCCCTGCATAGAGCCATCACCCACCTGCATTTGCAATTATTCCTGCCGCTCCGGCTGCTATAGTTTTGTTTGACCGGCACTTGAATATGCATTAGGTCACCATGCTTGCTCAATCCACAGTTGAATTGGAATTGGCTATTATTTGGGGATGATTTCTGTAGCATATGGTTCTTAGCCACTATTCTGTTTTTAGGGTGCAGGGGCAGGAACATGGGAGTGTATATTAAATCAGTTCTCCACACTGACGTGTTATTGTAGGACAGTCTATGAGGTCTAACAGAATTCTGTAGTGCAATTGTTACTTCTTTATCTCTAAACAAGCAGCCCGTCTGCAATTTTGGAAGAGAGTGTTGCACTCATACAGACACACTTTTCATTGATGACAATGAAATATTTATTTATTCAATATTAAAGGGTTATTTATTGGTTTTATAGCCAGTGGTTTATTTAAAAGTCTTGCTACTAATATGTATTTATTGACTTGGGGCCCTGCTGGTCACCCTTCATTTTTCCAGCCCACTTGTAAGGAGTCTCTCAGTTCTTCCTATTGTCCCAACAATGTCCTTGGTGGGATTTCCTAGTCATGCGCTGATTCCTGCTCTGACTGGCATTTTGGGAATATTCCTTGTATGCTTCTGGCTCCTGTGTCAGGCTGCCCTGCCTAGTCTATTTCCCTCCATCAATAAATCATTACAAGAGTGGGTCAGATAGACATCAGCGTCGGAAACTCCGTGGATCCTGTCTGAATGCTCCTCCCTGAGTGTGTTAGTATCACGATCACGTCCTCTCTGCCGCCCATTGCAGACACGCCTGTGCCCACGCAGAAGCAATGGTTTACAGAGACCTTCCAACACCTGTCCACAATTGCCAAGACTGCAGAAGCCGCGGATGCAGGCGTTCACCTGGTGTCTGGGTAAGAAAAGGAATCTGGAGTCGTAGAATTAGAACAACACAGACAGATACCAGAGATCAGCAGGACATATTTGTAAGAGGGAAGACTTAGAAATGGCTTCAGAAAACTTAGGAAACATTACTTAACAGAATCAGTTGGCTTTTATAAACAATAAATAACTATTGCAATTTCTTATCACAAATGTTTTCTTGAGTTTCTTCAAGGAATGTGAAATGGCTTGAAAATATGCAAATAAACAAAGATCTCGAATAGTGAATAAACCTGAGTTTGGGTGCGTGGAGGATGGAGCAGCTGACGGAAAACAAAGCGGTGTGACACGGAAGGGGCCCGAAGACCTTAGGCAGAGGGCTGTCTGATTTATTTGAGAATCATTAGAAAATGGGATGACCCCAAAAGTAAGTTTTGTAGGTGGAGGGCTAGTGTTGGAATTGAACCCAGGGCCTTGTGCATGCCAGGCAAGGGCTCTGCAACTGAACCATTTCCAGTCCTAAAGTCATCTCTCGAAGTGCCGTTTGGAAAATAGAGCTCCTGCAATGTTTAACACCTTTCTGTTTGATTGTTCATATCTGATTGAGAGGAAATGCATCCTTAAGAGAGGTTTGAGAACACAAATAGCACTTAAAACATGATAATTTCACTCTGCATCCTCTTAAGTAGAGATGACTAAATATTTTAGCATCTTTAATGTAGGTCTCTATGTCATTAAGTGACAGAGTTTGTCACCTGTGCTACCCCATGTGTTAACACGGCCTTCTGGAGAGTAGGTGTATGCTCACCTTTGACGATGTTTCCAGGTGTTATTCTGCGTTCTGCCATCAAGACTATTTTAAAGTACCTGTTTTGGAGCTGAAGAGATGGCTCAGTGGTTAGCACACGTTCTGTTCTTACAGGGGACCTGGGTTCAGCTCCCAGAACCCACTTGCTGGAACTCTAGTTCCAGGAGATCTGGTGCCCCTCTGGCCTCTGTGGACTCTTGCCTGCGTGTAGTATACATAAAGGTATGCAGGCACACATGCTTATACATATAATAAATAAGAACATTTTGCAAAAGACAGGAACGAAAAGTTCTAGGCTCCATGGACACCTTTTCTAAGTGCATACTTCTTGCAGAGGATGTCTATTCTTTTTCTTTTTGCCTTCTGTGTTGGTTTGAATGAAAATGGCCCCCAGAGGCCCATTGGGAGTGGCACTATTAGAAGGTGTGGCCTTATTAGAGTAGGTGTGGCCTTGTGGGAGGAAACGTGTCACTGTGGGTGGGTTTTGAGGTCTCAGAAGTTCAAGTCAGGCCTAGTGTGATCTGCTGCCTGAGGATCTGGATATAGAACTCTCAGCTCCTTCTCTAGTACAGGGCCTGTCTGCATGCTACCATGCTTCCTACAATGACAACAATGGACTAAGCCTCTGAACTGTAAGCCAGCCCCAATTAAACACTTTTCTTTATGAGTTGCTGTGATCATGGTGTCTCTTCACAGCAACTAACTAAGATACCTTCCCTCACCATATAATCATGAAGATGGATGGTGATATCCTTACTTTTTCAAAGTCCCTACCTAAAGTAGCATGTTTTGCTTAATCATCAAGCTGTGAGCTTTTTTTTTAATGGCAGTTATCTTTCCCCAAGGTTAGTTGCTGAGCCATATTGAAGCATAGTGTTCACCGTGTTACGGTCATGCTAAACATGTTCCAAAACCAATAGGAATTCATCAACATTTAGGAACAGACATGTCCCAATAGTCTTTC